CTGACTAAGGTGATGAACAATCTGCAGATGAAAGGAGTCTGCCTTTAGTAATAGTATTTAAGCTGTTTTACCTTAAGTGTTACCAGTATAACAGGAATAGCAGTTGATTTAGCCTCTTCACCTTCAGAAAGCAAGCATCTCACTAGGGCATTTTAAAATGGCTAAAGGCAACTAGGCATTAAGCTAACCCAACCAACTGGATTTGGTCTTTCTCCATGGAGAATAAAACAACTAAGACCCTGATTCCATTACCAGACAATCAGCACCCATTTACTGAACACTTTCTGTGTCAGTCCCTCTACTGGGTATCACAGATTCGGAAGTAGTTTGGTTACTCTGCCCTTAGAATGCTAAGTGTAAAAGATACAAATGTAAACCAACATAAAACTATTGACAACGAATGTTCTAGAAGTATATAGGGATTGATGGGGATCCAGAGAAGCAATAGCAACCTTTCTTAGAGAAGACCATTTGTACACTGACTCTTAAAGGACAATTAAGAGTTGGTGAAACAGAAGAGTAATATGTCAAATCCTAGGCAGAAATCTGACTCCAACTCAAAAAAATAAAAATAAAATAAAATAAAATATAAATCAATTTTGATTCTTGTACTCAGAGATCTCAAGCTTATCTGAGGGGGAGATACAGGCATTCTTAAAAAAAGAATATTTGTCTCCTATATAGTAGGTATCAACTATTATTTGTTGAATGAATAAAATGTGGTAAGATCATGGAGGTAGGGGCAATTTCTTTGGGAACACATATAGAGCAACTCATTCTGCTTGGAGTTAGAAGTTATGATATTGACAGATGAAGAGGAATTGGTAGAGCCAATAAAGGAGAAACAAGCATTTAAGGTGGAGGCGTTTGTACAGGAAATAACAAATGGCCTTAGGTGGCTAGAGAGAAGGTTTACATGGCTGTCAATGCCTGAAGAGACACTGACAAAATCTAAAGTCAAAGAGACAAGCTGGGTCAGGCTGCCTCAGTCTGTGAACCATGCTGAAGTAGTAAGATCATATTCTGCTAGGACAATGCGGCCACTGCTGGTACAGACTCTAAGTGGGGAGAGGATATCATTCATGCATCTAGCAGTTGTTGTGCCAAACTCTGTTCTAGAATTCTGTTAAATAGAAATGACTAAGTCTCTGCCCTCATAAAGTTTGCATTCCAGCTGGGGAAACAATGAAAAAAAAAATGACCCAACATAATGTTAGGAGATAAAAATATTAGGACTCTCCGAGGTGATATTTGAATAAAGAATTGAATAAAGTGTGAAAACATAAATAGAGGGAATTGCCTTCATGCGTGAACCAGATCTGAGTCGTAGTCCCACTTATGCCTGTTCTAGTTGGTTGGCCTAGAAACATTATTTTAAACTCACTGGGCCTCCAGTTGGCTATTAAACACAGAAAAGCATGAGTTTTGTACAAAGAAGGTGCTCAATAAATGATAGGTGTTAGGATGAATATGCTAGTTACCAAATTAAACTTGAGTAAGCATATTATTTTCCAGTATTATAATCTTAGCTCAAGTGCCACATCTGTTAGGATGCCTTGTGTGATCATGCTTAGAGAACTTCCTTTTTCTGAAAACACTTTTCCTACCCTCATACTACCACCTGTAGAGTTATGGTGTACACATTTTTACCCAAGGGGCAGTGCTTGGCTGTATACAGATTGAATCTAAATCTGAAAGTTCTTCCAAAGGAAGGTTGGTGATGCAGCTACCGTTTTGCTGAGTGCCTATAATATTAATGATGGCAGCCATTCTACACATATTAAAACAACCTTATATCATTCCCCACAGTATCTCTAGGGCTCAACATAATACCTGTAACATAATAGAGATTACATAAATATTTGAATAAGTCTCAGAAAAGTTAGAAAATGTCTTCAAGGTCACAAAGAAAATGCGCAACAGAAAAATAATGTGGCTAGATGCTTGACGAGGCTTGAACCATGCTACCCACAAGAAAAAAAGTAAGGTCCTCCTCATTATGAAATCTGAAAGAAAAACACCCCAAGAACTTAAGACTGATCATACAAAACCCAGAGTAGCTAGGCCAGAGCAATGTCTTAGAATGGAGCCAATGGGAAGAAACTAACTTCAGAATCCTAGGAGCTGGAGGCAGATCTTTAGCAGAGTACTTCAAAGGGAAGCAAGGCACCCTCAACAAGAACAGTCAATGAAGTAAGTGATGAGGAAATATATAAAGAGCAATATATTAGAAAATTTGATAAACAGGTGAGATCGTGACCAGACCAGCAAGGAACAGGAATAACATAGTATACTTTAAAAAGGATTTGTATAATCTAGACAAAGAAACAAAAAATTCCTTGAGGAGTAAGTGAAGTCTGACATTTATGCTTGTATTTGCTATACAGCAAAAGCAATCCAGATCAGTCACTTGCAATGAATTTTGTTATTTTCACCTCTAGATATTGTTGTACTAAACTATCAAATCCCATACTGAATCAAGGTAAGTAGACACTGGAGGAATGTTTTAACAGGGATTTTTTTTTTTCTTTCTGAATATTCAAAACATTGCAACTCAATCCTTACAGAGTTAATGAGATAACAAAAGGTTTGTAAAGAACACAGGTTGGCACTTAGCACACAGTAGGTACTTAATACATGTGGGTTGTTTCTGCTTTTTGGCTTTTACATATAATGCTGCTATGGACATCTGTGCATAGGTTTTCATGTGGATGTATGTTTTCACTTCTCTTGGGTATACACTTGGAAGCAGAACAGCTGGATGATATGGTAACTCTATATTTAAACCATGTAAAGAACGACTATACTTTTTCTAAGGTGGCTGTCCTATTTTACATTCCTGCCAGCAGGTTATAAAGACTCCAACTTCTCCACATCCTCATCAACATTAGGTATTATGTCTTTTTTATCTCAGCCATCCTATTGGGTATGAAGTGATACCTTGTTATGATTTGCATTTTCCTGGTGACTAACGAGTTGAGAATTTTAAAATGTGCTTATGGGTCATTTGTATATCTTATCTGGAAAAGTCTCTGTTCAGATATTTTGCTCATTTTTAAGTTGTGCTGTTTTTTTATTATTGAGCTGTAAGAGTCCCTCTAGATACAAGTCCCTTATCACATTATGATTTGCAAATATTTTCTCCCATCGTGTAGGTTGCTCTTCAACTTCTTGATAGAGTCCTTTGAAGCACATAAGTTTTTAGTTCTGATGAAGTCCAATTTGTGTATTTTTTCTTTTATTGCCTATACTTTGGTGTCATATTTAAGAAACCTTTGCCTAATCCAGAGTCATATGCATATGTTTTCTTCCAAGAATTTTATAGTTTTAGCTCTTACATTTAGATCTTTGTTCCATTTTGAGTTTACTTTCTTATATGGTATAAGGTAGCAATCAAATGTAATTTTTTTTTCATGTGGATAGCCAATAGCCCAGCAGATTATTTGTTGAAAGACTTGTTTCTCCACTGAATTGTTTTAACACTCTGGTTGAGAATCAATGGACCATAAATTTGAGGGCACTTTTCTAGACTCTCAGTTTTTTTCCATTGACCTACATGTTTACCTGTACACTAGTACAACACCCTCTTCGTTTCTGTAGTTTTGTAACCTTAAAGTCAGGAAAGGCGAGTCACCAAATTTTTTTTTTTCAAGATTGCTTTGGCTATTCTTTGTTCCTCAAATTTTCTTAACAGTTTTAGAATCAGTTTGTCAGTTGCTACAAAGAAACCAGCTGAAATAAATGGGAATTGTATTGAATCTACAGATCAGTTTGGGGAGTATTGCCATCTTAAGTCTTCTGAACAATAAACATGATGATCTTTCCATTTATTTAGGTTTTCCTTAATTTCTCTCAACAAAGTTTTTTAGTTTTAAAAGTTGTACTTTTTTTGTTAAATTTATACCAAAATATTGTATTCTTTTTTATGCTGTTGTAAATAGAACTATTTTCTTAATTTCATTTGGTATAATTCACTGATGGTGTATAGAAATACAATTGACTTTTGCATATTGATCTTGTATACTGAAGATTGCAAAACTTATTTATCAGCATTAAGCTAGTGGACTCCTTACATTTTCAATATACAAAATCTTGTCATCTGCAAATATAGTTTGACTTTTTTCTTTCCAATCTGAATGTCTCTCTAGAGTTGAGTTCTAAAAAAATTAATGTACTGCTCAATATTTGAAGGCATTAAAAAATTAATATTGCATAAATTCATTTTTAAAACAAAAGGAGAAAAAAGTGCTATAGAAGGAAAACAAAAACCAAACAAACAAAAAATTCCCAACAAATGTGGAGGCAAAATAACTGGTTCCTACAGCAGCATTAATTAGCTGTGTGATCCTAGGCAAGATTGTAATCCTTTTCTGGTTATAAATTTCCCACATCTTTTTCCATTTGATTTACCTAGGAACTTCTGGGGATATATAGGAAGTTACTTTGCTCAGTTTATTCAGCCATTACATTCATGATTTTTACTAAATATATTGACATCCTCTCTCCTTTTCCATCTTTGCCCCTCACAAATAATAAGATTACCAGAAGTCAAAGAGCACACTAAAAGTATCTTTGCACTGAGAAAGAATACAACTCTCAGTTGCCAGAATGTAGACAATTATGATAAGTTGTCATCTTGGGAACAAACTAAAACATAAATAAATATTTTAGAGGCTTGCAGAAGAAAAAAGTAAAAATAAGCAAGTAAAGGAAGAACTTACTGCCAAGTACTAACACTTTAAAACTAAAGATTAATCAATAAAGATATAAGAAATGCCAAAAAATGTTTCAAGAATATACATTATCTGAAGTTTTCACCACAGAGGATCATCTTTTAAAAGTAGTTTTCAATAACATTTTAAATTACAATTTGATTAAAATGACAAATGTTTCAGAACATATATAACCGCATTAAATTTTTTCTAGCAAACATTAGGCATCTTCTCCCTGCCTCTGCTAATGCTGGCAGTACTAGAACAAGTAAGTTATATTTCAGCGTTTTAAATTTCATTCCAAGTGCTTTGGAACCTTAGTTTTAACCTCTGGGATAAAGGAAGGGGACTATCCAAACAAGTACCAGAGTCATCTTCTTTCTTATGACATTGTAGAAAACTCAGAGAACTTTTTGCTGCAACTGGAAAACAATTTTCTTCATTTCCAGCTGTTTTATAAGACCTTACATAGTGTTCAGTCTCCTTAATATGTATTTTGGGGCTATTCAATTTGTTGTGGTCACTTTCTTTGAATTGGGCTGGATTATGCTTCTGAGAATGATGTTTGAGTTTTTGAGTTGTTTTCTTAGCCTTCCCAAACACTGGAGTACTTTCTTCATCAGAGGAATGTCTGTCATGGCAAACGCTCTTCTTCATTACAATTATCTGAGTGGTTTGTGTATTAATTTTTTTACTATGCTCTAAAGCAGTATTTGGTGGCTCAACACCAACACTGGAGGTCTTTACAACTGGGTTATTGACAAAATAAGGTACAGAAGTACTGACTTTATGGTTTTCTTGAAGCAGCTGGTCTCTTTTTAGAGCTTTGGAGTTTCTGGATTCATTTTTCAAGTAAGTTCCTGAGAAATCCTTTGAAAGATGTGACAGACAGTCAGAACTACTGTTACCAGTACAAGATTCTTTTACTCTAGATATGGACAAAGTTTTCAGGTCAACTTCTGACTGTTGACCTGACTTATTATGCTGAGAATGTGATGATTTTATATATATTCGTTCTTTTAAAGGCAAATCCTGAAGACATAAATCAGTAATGCCAGAAAGTAGATGCTCTTCAGGACTAATCTTATGGAGATCCTTGTCTAACACTCTATTGATGTTTGTGATGCAACTTTGTGAATCATGTGACAATTGTTCTGGGATATTTTTAAAACTAAAGGGGATGGATGATACCTCTGATTCAAGTTCTAATCTTAAATCATGAGATAAATTGTTTCGTTGAATAGATGGAGAATTACTAAAAGAAGTACTCTCCCAGTCAATGGTGCTCAAGTGTAGATCAGCAATCACAGACATGTTATGAGATAAAGTACTGGGTTGATTAGATTCTGAAATTATAGACTTATTGACAGCTTTAATTTGCTGTAAAGCCAAAGGTCTTGGAGAAGACATGAACTGTTCTTGTGTATTCAAACAGGGGATTTCTTCAGGTAAAATCAAGCTATTCAGTAAGGCAGAAATAGATTCCTGTGGTAATGCTGAATCAGGAGAAATTTCTAAATTTAACTTGGAATTCTGCTTAGGGAAGATTTCACACGAGGGTTTTAAAGTCATATGAGACTGAAAGCTCATTACATCATCTGATTCTGGCAAATTGTTTCCTTTAGGCTTGATTTTTATATCTGAAAATAAAAAAAAAATTATAATTAACATCTATTTTACTTTCCTTAACTAGGGTAAAAAATAAACTTAAGAGTTCACATTGGAAATCTATATAAGCAGTTTTTATCTTTTTTTTGTCTCAGTGCCTTCCTAGATATATTATAAAATATTTTCCTCTAGAAATAATGTTATAATTGAGTTGGTTTCCTCACCAAGTTCTGGGAAATAAAGAAAATGTATTATAAACCCTTGTTATATATATGTTATACACAGTAGTTTCTAAATAATTGATTAGTATAATTACTATTAACAAGTTAGTAGACAGAGAAAAATAGCTTCCTCTTGGCTCTTAAACTTTAAAAGAAAATATGTGAAGACAAAGAAGCAAGAGTACAATTCTTATTCTTGATTGAACAAAACTGTGAGTAAAATTTAGACAAAACAGATTCAAATAGAACAGGTGGCTCTTCTACAACATTTGTATGTGGCATAAATAGCTATCAAACCTGACACTTACTTTTTTGTTTCTTCTCTTTAATTTCTAACTTCTGTTTCTGGTAAACAGCAACAATCTCGGGATAGGCTACTTCAAACAATGATTCTTCTTCGATTGTTAGTAGAGCCAATTTACCATCTTGCTTATCTTCTATAGCATAATGTTCTGAAAGATTAAAAAAACAGCAAAGCAGCCTTAATTACAGATTTTAAAAAATTCAATCTTTTCTGGTTAAGTTTATCAGGTAAACTAAGTCACCCACAAATAGAAAATTCATTGCAAATCTTGCTTTATAACATTTCTATTCTAATAAGCTGTAGATACTAGTACAGAATTTATTTTCTTTTGCCTGGCAAGAATAGGAAGGAGATTCTTTTTAAATTAGAACTTTAAATTCTCTTGCTTCAGAGATGGAAGCAGACAAGATAGGTTATGTGTTCAGGTGATATGGCCATAGACAAAAAATATTACTATTTTTCAGATTGTTGTTTCTGAGGTTATCAATCTCTTAAACCTAGTCTTACTGGGTTTTACAAGCAGCAGCTGATAAATAAAAACCATAAAAAAGGACAAAATTATGAACTTTGCAGCAACTTGGATGGACTTGGAGTCTATAATACTGAGTAATCTATCACTGAAACAAAGAACTGAGTACCATATGTTCTCAGACATAAGCGGAACTTGAACAAGTATCATAATACTATAAAAAAGGGATTGGCAGTAGTAGAAAACTGCCAGGGGTAGGGGGGTGGGATTGGCAGTAGTGAGAAACTACCAGGGGATAGGGGAACACCTAATCAATAAGAGTACCTGTATAATGAACATTTGTATACCTAACTTAAATTGTACACCATACCTTTAAATAAAACAAATACCTTTAAATAAAAAAAATAAAACAACAAAAATTAGTTTTAAAAAAGAGAATGTTTATATGTAAATATAGATTGGATTATTGTGCTTATTCTATATGTGGGTCAAACTATATATAAGCCAAATTATAATAAAAATATTGGTAAGCTTAAAGCATAAATTTTAAAAAATAGGTGATCTTAAAGTATTTCTTAGTTAAAGTAGCTTGGGGGTACATTTTCTCCCTTAAAAGACAGCTCCATAAGGATGAGTGATAGTGTGTATTCGATTCTTAATTCTACATGAGATACACTTTCAAACTGGGTTAACATCATTTTCTTTTTTGAAAATGTACCAATTGGTGGAATTGTTCCTAAACAGTTTTCAAAATTCTTCAGACTTCTATCATCCCATTAATGCTTAGAATTATTTATCTAATTTTTTATAATTTCATTCTTCAGTTATCTACAGCTTAGACTTTCATTGAACAAATCTATTCTCTTACTTATTCGAATATAATCAATCATACAATCTAATTTCAAAGCCAAATAAAAATCAACTTGGAACAATTTTCCACTTTAAATTATCTGTGCTTTACCTGTCTCCAGTTTGGGAGCTAATTCAGAGTAGTACATTATGTCTTTCTAACAAGTATAAGAATAATTGGAAAATTATAAATTTCCATGAAAACTAAACAGAGTAAAGAAAGAAGAAAATGTATACTCCAGTTGCTAGTCAGCAATCTCAATTTCTTCAGATACAGCTATACATGAAATCCAATAACAAGTAGCATTTCCTTGATAAATATAAATCAAAACTATTTTGGTATTATTTTTTAAACATTAGAAAATAAATGTCAAAATAAAACATTAAATAAAATCATTTAAAGTTGATCATACTATTTATCAAAGTCTAATTAAAATAACATAGGCAAATTATAAAATTAATCCATGGTGCATGTGATACATTTTGTCTTTTACACACACACACACACACACACACACACACATTTACTATACATATATAGTCATATGTTACAAGTTAAACATTTTGCTTAAAGTGAATACATACCAGGCTTTTCCCATTCTACTTCAAAGCAATGAACTCCATTTTTGATTCTAGTCTTAACAATTCTGAAAAACAAATTCATCTAATGAGGGTTGTTTTAAAAATCTCCTAAGGAATCACTGCCTGGCTATTCTTTTTTAATTTTATTATTATTTTTTATTTTTAAAATGTGGGGTATAATTCAGGATTAGGTATACAAGTAATCATTGTATAGGTAAAGCTTGAGGCTCCCTTTGGTTCTCACTTTGCATGGTTTGAGATCAAGTACCCTTATTGATGTTGTGTCCTTCCCACTCCGGCAGTATCTTGCTACTGCCAATCCCTGTCTTACAGTATTATGGCAAATGTTCAGGGTCCACTTATGAGTGAGAACATGTGATATGTTCTTTGTTTCTCTGACAGAGTATGATAGACTATAAATCCATCCAAGTTGCTGCGAAATCCATGTTTGTCCTTCTTTATGGCTGTGTAATTTTCCATTATGTATATGTACCACATTTTAAAAATCTAGCCCAGTTTCAACGGGCAGCATGGTTGGTTCCATGTTTTCGCTATTGTGAATAATGCTGCAATAAATCTGCATGTGTAGATATCTTTTTGGTAGAAAGATTTGAGTTCCTTCAGGTATACTCCCAGTAAGGGGATTACTGGGTCAGATGGAAAGTCAATGTCTAGTTCTTTTAGAAATTACCATACTGTTTTCCAAAGAGGTCACACTAGTTTGCATTCCCACCAGCAATACAGAAGCGTTCTCTCTTCTCCACATCCTTGCCAGCATCTGTTATTGTTTCTTTTAATAATGATGGCCATTCTTACTGGGGTTAAGTGGTGTCTCAATTTGGTTTTGATTTGCAATTCTCTAATGATTAATGAGGCTGAACACGTTTTCATGTGTCTGTTGGCTGCCCGTACATATTCTTTTGACTAATTTATTAATTTATTTGATTGTTAGATACATAGAGTTTATAACTGTTAGATCTTCTCAGTAGATTTTTCCTTCCTTTATTATACAGTGTTTCTCTATGATTTTTGTTTTAAGGTCTATTTTGTAATATTACTTTGGTAAGTACAGCAGTATTTGCCTACTAATTCCTCTCAAATTTCTTTATTTTCAAATTTTGTGTGGTATTATTCCACAGATGCCTTGCAAGCAGAATATTGCTGAATTTTATTGACTTATCTAATATAATCTTTTAATAGATAAGCTTAATCTACTATTTTTATATAGGTGGACTCATCTGTGTATCTTATTTTCTATTACTAGCCTCTTGGCTACCTCTCTTCCCCATGTCTCCTTTCTATATTTCTTTGGTTCAACAGTTTTATTTTCCCATTTTAATTGTTCCAGTTGGGAAGACAGAGATTGTAAGAGATTGTATCTCTAATAGGTACTCTTAAGTGTTTAAATGCATCATTCCATTATCTTCTGGCATATATATATATATATATATGTATGCGTGTGTGTGTATGTGTGTGTGTGTGTGTGTGTGTGTGTGTGTAATACACAAA